AGTAGTCCTGATTTCTTTCTTCTCCTTCCCTCCCCCTTCCCCCCCTTATAGGGGAAAGGGGCACTAAGCCTCTACTTTGTTTTTGCGTTCCTGATTCGATTTTTTTTGGCCAGGTGTTGAATCCCCATTGTCCATGCACGAGGTTTACGAAAATGCTATTAGGGGAAATTAGAGCATCGGGAAAATGATTTGGTTGAGACTCTCCCCCCACCTCGTCAGGCTGATCGGCTTGCCTTGACTGCTGTTACTCCCATGGCGCCGGTGGTAGAAGGTTCGTCGGCATCTACTAAAGAATCTCCTTTGGCTGCCCAACCAATCTCGACTGTTGCTCCTCCATCTGCTTCCTGTTCTGGTCACACGGAGGTGGTCGAGGACATCAAGGATGGCATTATTTCTGATGCTCTTTGGGTGGTTGCGAAGAGGAATGTCGTTGTGGCTATGAGAGAGGCCTCCACTGATGCTTTTAACATTGGGAGACAGGTTCGATCGAGACACAACTTCACTCGTCTATTGAACTCGATAAATTCGACACTGCAGGCAATTATGGTGATCCCCGATGATCACATTTAACATTTCGAGAGGGGTCAAGGGGCGATCAAGCAGCCCATAGTTCCTGTCCAACCTGTTCCCCAGTCTTTTTCTGGTTTTCTCCCCCTAGAGGCTCTGGGGGTGCTGAGCTGCACCGGACCCCTACTCGTGAGGAGGTTTCTGGGGGTGATCCTGGTTCCAATGTTTTTGTTCCTACATGGAGTCTACGAAATTAATCCCGCTTGTCCGTTCGTGCTAACGTTTTGGAATTTTCTCGCCATTCGTTCCCATGCGCTGTTGTTTCTAACATGCAAGCTATGCGTTCCCATGTTCTATCCTGTTGCTGGTGCTTGACACAGTCAATTAATCAACAAGATGGGGGCTGCCTACCCAGGCTGTAGTGTCCGTGAGGCTGGCCTGAAGCGCCAGATTGCTGAGTTTGAGGGTGATGTTCATGGTCTTGAGCGGAGGTGTGCGCTGCTTGCCTCAGAGAAAGCTGTTGTGGAAGAGGTTTAATCCGCCCTGGAGGTGAAGGTGGATTACTTGATCCAATCCAATGAAGGGCTCATGATACAGAACGAAAGCCATGAACGTGATGTCGGTGATCGCGATAAGCTAAGTGTGGATGCTCGGTCGGAGGCGGAGGTTGACTACCGGGATTGGCTTTTGTGTGTAGGGTTCGTTCGCATTATGGACAAGTTGATCGAGCATCCTGAGTTTACTGGCACTGTGAGTTTAATCAAGCATGTGGCATTTGTTGCTGGAGAGGAGTCTGGCCGTAGCAGGCTGAAGGCCGAGATGGATTCTAGTTTCTACGATCCTCACGATAGCGACTCCCGGTCGAGCCACAGTACAAGCGTTAATGAAGCTCAGATGGCATTTGCCACCATGCACCATTCATCTTTTCCGGGCTTAGGAAATTTGGATATGGAAGGCATGCGGAAACTTTCTGCCCTGGAGGATGTTGATGATATTTCTGAAGGCGTACTGCTTGATGGGGCTGGTGGTGGTGGTGAGGGTCGTGGCGGCGAGGTAATATTGAATGTGCAGGTGGTGATGACGATGCGGTGGCAAGAAGCGATGTTGGTGGTGCTGGGCCTACTGTTTCTTAGGGTACTTCGTACCAGGGGCTGCCCCTTAGTGGTGTGAAAAAAAACTTGAAGCTTTTGTAACTCGTTTCCTTGTGTTTGGACAGTTTGTGATGGTGGTGGCCTCTCAGGCCTTGTTTGTAGTAATCTTTTATCTTTTGCAATGTGAACGACGCTTATCTGTTTGTGCGCTTTTTCTTTTAATCCTTTTTCCCCTTTGCTGGGCATATTTGATTTTGTGGATACTTTAAGTTCATTGCTTTGATCACAGCTCTAATCCGTATAAGCATATTAAGTATTTGTAAATACACTAAGTACCTAATCGTTTATGGCCTGTTCTAAGCGTTGTAAATACACTAAGTATTTAGGTTTTATGGCTTGCTTCGAGCCTTCTGAATACACTAAGTATTCAGATTTTGTGGCTATTCTGAGCCTGGAAAATACGTTGAGTATTTGAGTTTAATACACTGAGTATTATTATAGAAAAACCTTCCAAATACACTGAGTATTTTTAAGTAAGGGGAGAGGGCTACTTGGCCCCGTGGTATATTGATTGGTAAAAAAAAAGGAATAAAGTTGCATGCCTAAGTGCTCTGATTCGTCGGCATCTGGTTGTCTTTGGAGTGGCTGGGTCGGGAGGTGCGTTAGAAATGGAATTTCCTTAGATTCCTTGCATTCCAAGTTCTTGGGATTTGCCTGCCTTCCATCGTCTCTAATGTGTACGCGCCACTGCGGTTGGCTTCGATGATTTTATACGACCCTTCCCAAACAAGGCCCACCTTCCCTTATGGTTGGGCTCGACTTTCCTCATTTCGTCTTAAAACATAGTCCCCTACTCTGAAAGCCTTCTCCCTGACCCTCTGATTGTAATACCTTTCGACAGCATGTTTGTAAGCAGCATGTCAAATGTTTGATTGTTCGAGTCGTTCTTCGATGAGATCCAAATTCGCTCTCAGATTCTTGTAGTTGTTTCCTTCCTCAAAAATAGGCTGAAAGGAGTTTCTTACGTGCTTACTCTCGGGGTTGTCTTGTATGACCAGAGCACGTTTGGTGATGCGACATCGACCTCCGGCGAGTCTTCTGGTCTTCAGCTGCGGCGGAGATCTGGACATCACAATGCAAACTCGTTAGAGCCGTCCCAGGGACTGTGCCCCGTGAGCGGACTCCGACGGTCAAGTTAGATCAGCTAGAAGATCTGAGATGGTCCTCCATAGCTGGAGAGAACCATCTTGGTGCTAGTGGTGGTGCATGGTGGCTGACGGCGGCGGGTGGCGGCTGAGCCACCCGGCCGGAGTATAGGGTGGCGGCTGAGCCAAGGTAAGGATCCATGGTGGCTGCTAAGCCACTCCGGAAAGATCCCTCTCCATGGAGGAGGTGCTGTTCATTATATAGGGGACAATTAGGTCAGGCCTTGGGCCAGCTCAATTCAGGCCCAGCTAGCAAGGAGCTGGGCGAGGCCGCCTGGAGGCGCCGAGCGGGGCTGGCGGGCGGGCCCCAGGCAGGGCTGGAAGGCGCGCCCCAGGAGAGTATGGCAAGGGAGTGCCAGGCGAGGGAGCGCCTGGCCGAGCCGGCAGGAGAGTCCCCAACAGGGCTGGCAAGGGAGTCCCCAGCAAGGCTGGCAAGGGAGCGCCAGGCAGGGCTGGCAAGGGAACGCCAGGCAGGGCTGGTAAGGGAACGCCAGGCAGGGCTGGCAGGAGCGCGCCAGGCCAGGCTGGCGCGCTAGAGCAGTCTAGGCCATGCCAATGGACCATATATCATCAAGTCCCCCCAGTCTGGTGTTATTGGTACGCGGCCAATGACATCAGACTGGACTAAGTCGTATAAACCAACAGGAGAGTCCCTAGCGAGGCTGGCAAGGGAGTCCCCGGCAAGGTTGGCAGGAGCGCGCTAGAGCCGTCTGGGCCATGCTAATGGACCATATATCATCAAGTCCCCCCAGTCTGGTGTTATTGGTACGCGGCCAATGACATCGGACTGGAACTAGTCATATAAACTGTGCGTCGTCAAGTCCCCCTAGTCTGATGCGATTGGGTTGCTGACAATCGGATCGGACTAGATAAAGCACCAAAGCATTTAAATAATAAAGAGAATGACCGAACCTCGCCCACGAGAGCCGTGGGGTTATGCGATGAGCCAAACGTTGCTTATGCGGCTTGAGCTGACTTGATGCTCCTTCATTGAGAGGAGTGCGAGCTAATCGGTGTGGTGCAACGTAACTGTTGTTGCGATCATGCGGACCGAGGTTGCTAAACAGTGTTACACGACACTGATGTCGGTAAAATGTCAGGTCGGGATAGCTAAGGAGCGTAAGCTTGTCCTTCAGTCCCTAAGACTCTTATCCGACGCAGCCACAAACGGAATGTCACCGATAATCATCTACATAGCCTTCTTTGCATGAGAACTAGTAACCTTCCTGAAGGTGTTTTCAAAGTACACTATACCTAACTGGATTCCCCTCAGTCTGATGTGGGTAGCGTAGGTAGTCGCGTCAGACTATGTTGTCAAACCAATAAACCGTAAGGTCGTTGACCATAAAAAAAATGGAAGAGATTCCGAGAGCTGGGCGACTAGATTGCTAGCGAGGGTCACATAGCGAGACTATTGTTGATAGCCAGACAATAGAATTCTTGAGGAATAGGCAGTGAAGCTATAGGTTGGGGTTGCATAACAAGACCGTTTCCGAGATCCAGGAAACAGAGGTTTTGTAGGATACGCGACGAGGCTATAGGTAGGGTTGCACAGCAATACCATTTCCGAGAGCCAGGAAACAGAGATGCTGTGGGGTACGCAGCGAGGCTACAGGTAGGGTTGCACAGCAAGACCATTTCCGAGAGCTAGGAAACAAAGATGTTGTGGGGTACGCGGCGAGGCTACCGGTAGGGTTACGCAGCAAGACCGTTTCCGAGAGCCAGGAAACAGAGATGCTGTGGGGTCGCATGTAGCAGGGACGCTGTCGGGATGACCTTCTTGCTGGAAAGTATCCTCACTATGGCAGGTTGTAATGTGGATAACACTTCATCGATCGTCCGAGCACAAGAGAACCATGATGACTGTGAGAGAGGAAGCACCAAGATCATGGTGTGGAAGAAGCTTGTGATGCGCGACTTATGATGCGCGACTTAGGAGAATAGCTTGGGCTTAGCAGCCAATGATCATGGAGGTGTCATGCGGGAAAACCTCGCGTGTAACAGATCGGGTTTGGCTGCTAACGATCGTAGATAGAGCGCACGAGAGAGCGTCGCGTGGAATGGATAGGGCTTGGGTGCCAGCGATCGTAGATAAATCACGCGGAAGAGCGTCGTGTGGAATGGATCGGGCTTGGCTGCCAGCTTTCGTAGATAAATCACGCGGAAGAGCGTCGCGTGGAATGGCAGGAGCAAGTTGCTATAATGGACCCGGGCTGAGAAGCCAGGCAACTCGAGGCGAGGGTACTGAACCTCGCATGCGGAGCTTTCCGCTATAATGAAGTCGGGCTGAGAAGCCAGGCGACTCGAGGCGAGGGTACTGAACCTCGTATGCGGTGGGTGCCTCTATAATGGAGTTGGGCTGGGAAGCCAGGCAACTCGAGGCGAGGGTATTGAACCTCGCATGCGGAGCTTGCCGCCGTAATGGAGTCGGGCTGGGAAGCCAGGCGACTCGAGGCGAGGGTACTGAACCTCGCATGCGGAGCTTGCCGTTATAATGGAGTCGGGCTGAGAAGCCAGGCGACTCGAGGCGAGGGTACTGAACCTCGCAGGCGGAGCTTACCACTGTAATGGAGTTGGGCTGGGAAGCCAGGCGACTCGAGGCGAGGGTACTGAACCTCACATGATCGGGCGTAGCACCCTACAATCTATGTGTCTAGCTCGTGTGACCAGTCTGAGTTAAAGCGGAATGGTACCTGGTGCTTTGCTGCATCTCTAGTCATACTAATAATTGATGCCTCGGTGTCTTGGTTGTTTGCAGAGAGCTATGTGGCAGTGCTACCTAGAGCTCGATAGTGTAGCTACTGTTAAGAGGTGCGTAGCGAGACTGCTGTCAAGAACTGGTTAGTAGGGCCGCTGAGGCCTGGGCAGCGAGCTGCTGGCGATAGGTGAGCAACACGATTATTGAGAGTTGGGTAACAAGACTACCGAGAGTTGAATTGCGAGGCTACTCTTTGGATTCAGAATATTGATGTCACCTTGGGGATACATCATCATTCATGGTGTCAGCTCTTTATGTAGCTTAACTCTTCCCCTTGGGAATAACCATCACTTCTACATAGTGTCGTACCAACACTATTCCCCCCCCCCTTTTTTTTCTTTAAAGGAGGCGAAGACGGATGTATAGCCGCTGAAAGGCGAGATACATAGCTGCTGGAAAGAGCTAGGCAACCCAAGTACTGACAAAGCTGGGTAGCACGGCTGGCGAGAGCTAAGCAGCGCGACTGCTGGGAGTCAGACAAAGTAGCTGCTAATGGTTGAGCTTTGCCGCTGCTGAGCTAGGTCGTGTCGTTGCTGAAGGTCGAGCTGTGCGACTACTGAGAGTTGGGCGGTAAGACTAGCGGGGGCCGGTCAACATGAATGTGAGAGCTGATTAGCGAGACTTCCCGGAATTTGTCAACACGGCTGCTGATAGCCGCTCAGCGCAGTTGCTGATGGCTATTTCGAAATTCTTCACTAGTAGTAGTAGCGTACTACTCTTCTCCCTCCCCCCCCCCCCCCTTTTTTTTTTTTTTGAAAATGCCGAGTGATCTGGGCCGCAACACATTTTCTGAAAATGCTTTTTGATGAGTTATGCAACGCCCGATCGTTAAATGGTTGATCTTGTAAATTTAGCTCATATAAGTTCCCGAGACGGCCCAAAAAATGAAATTTAGCTTGGTAGGAGCCCAAAATAGTAATAGCCCAAGGAGGAGCCCAAAGTAAATTAAAATAAGTACACTTTAATATGATTTACTTAGCCCGATATGAAGCTCATCATAAAAAATTGTAATCCATTTGATTTGTGATAGGAGCCAAAATTCCGTTTTTTTTGTTTGAAAGCATCAACCCGCGATGTATATTCTGAAAACATTTTTGTTGAGCGGGAATGTAGCGCATGAGTGTTGAGTAGTTTTTTTTTTTTTTTTGTAAAATTGGGTATTTTTTCTGTTGGTGGAATAGCCCAAGAACATAATTGAATTCTGGCAGCCCAATGATATGAGACCATATGAGAAAAACAGCCCCATAAACGTTAGCCCATTTATAGGTTATCAGCCCAAATAGTAATTCCCTTTTCTTTCATTTGTTTTGCGTCTATGGACCTGATTGTAGGCTAAGAATAGCAAATAAAGAGTACCACATAGGCCCACCATGCTCATTATTTGTGCCTGCCATCCCGTTACCCTCCTTTTCACTAAAGAGAAAACGCCCAAAAGAAAGCAGGTATCGATTGGAAGCTAAGAAATCACGGTGGTTACCTGTTGGGTTTCATCACCTGTAGATGGAGAATGGAGCAACGAAGGAGACCGGCGGTGGTCACTGCTGGAAGCGACGGTGGCTGCTATGAGGTGAGCGGAGATGATCGAGGGTCACCGTTTGAGATGCTTGGTGACTTGAGGCAGCCAATTGAAGGTGCAGCAGTAGTGGAGACGAAAATGGGAGCCTTCAATCGATACCAATGGTGGTCCAATAGCCGGAGTTCCTGTCATTGGGAGCCGACGAGTGATCGACGACACCTGGCTCTGGCTGCCTTCAGCAGGTCGAGAAAATGGAGGGCCGGTGATGTTGGGGGTGTGCCGTCAATCGCCATCTGAAGGGCTAGGGTTCACAAGTGGAACAGACCGGCTGGGCGGTGATGGTTGATCCGGAGGATGACAAGAGGTAGTAGCGGCACCAATGACGGTCTAACTTCGGCTGATAATCGGAGGCTGTCTGGTTGTGGTAGTCGACCAGTGATGGTCGCATTCTGACTGTCGACGAGGTGGTTTCAAGGGCTACTTTTGGTGGGAGAAAGACACGAAGAACCCAGGCCACCACAATGGAGATTTCGAAGGAGTGTGAACTAGGTGAGGTCAACTGAGGGTTTTGCCTTCGGATGGGTGAGAGATGGCCGGACTTCAGCTTTCCGGGAGTGTTTGACTGGCTCATCGCCGGTGGTTTGTGAGAGCCAAGTGGGGCCCGATTTTGCTTTTTCTGTTCATTGAGGATTGGACCACGTGGGCCCCACACACATTTTTAACTTTTGGCTTATGGTGTACAGCCTGTATACACCCATACCCCCTCTCCTTTTTTTTGGTCGGCCATGTAACGACAAAGAGCCATACAACTGCTGTATCTGGTTTTTTCTTTGTTGATATGAAAATGAATCACCATTTTGTATACTATCTCTTTTTCCCTTCTTTTATATTGGTTACTTTTTGTATCATCCCTACACCCGCTTTTTTTTTTACTAACCAGTAAACTTTAATAGTGGTTATGGTAAATTTTTAAGGTAAAAATGCTATCTCTTGTATTTTGGAATGTACAAAAGTCAAGCACAACTTAAACCGACTTTTACACATAAATTCATTACTAAAATGAATTTTTACCAAAGATACATGGAAAATCATAAATTAAATGAAGTTCCTGAAATGATATGAACTGAGGATGGGTTAAGACCCATCAAAACTTCTCCTCCATTCTTTTTTTCTTTTAAAATGCCTTGTAAAACATACAAGCCATACAGCTATGTGTACAAATAATCATAGCTAAAAACGATTTTTGATAATATTTGAACTGAAAATGAAACAAAAATTCTTAAAAACTTCTTTTCTTCCCACTTGCTGGGCAAATCCCATATTAAAAGTGAAAAACGGATCTGAGGTGGGATGTTGCTCATAAAACTTCATTTTCTTTTTAGCTTGCTCAACAAGCTATCAAGATATGAGCAAACAGCAGACCTGGAGGAAATTTTCGTTTTCCTTTTCTAATCTTTTTGAAGAAACCCCAAAAATATAAACGAAAATGGAATAAGAGCTCGATTTTTCCTGAAATGTACAAACATCTCAGCTGTGCTTACAAACAGCTGATGCATGTAGTAAAGTTGTTCATAAAAAATCTTAACTAAAGACCATTTTTGATAGTATATGGACTGAAATGAGGTAACAACTCATAAAAATTTCTTTAATCTTCATCCTACTCAACAAACCCCAGGATATGAACCAAAAAATGATTCTAAGAAGATTTTTGCAAACTTGGGGGGTGTTTGAGTGAAGAAAATCCTATAGATCCATAGATCTGAACTAAAAAACGTGATGGATCTACAGATCTAAAAGATGGTGAAGCAATTTTGAACAGATCTTGGCAAAAAACAACCAGATCTGAACAAATGATACTAGAAATTAACATATCTGAGGGAACCTGAGATGGAAACACATCAGATCTAAGGGAAAATGAGCTTGAAAGCAGCTGAGGCTTTTGCTACTTGCTCGAATCCGGGATGGCACCAAATAATGCGACATCGACCTCCGGCGAGTCTTCTGGTCTTCAGCTGCGGCGGAGATCTGGACATCACAGTGCAAACTCGTTAGAGCCGTCCCAGGGACTGTGTCCCGGGAGCAGACTCTGACGGTCAAGTTAATCAGCTAGAAGATCTGAGATGGTCCTCCATAGCTGGAGAGAACCATCTTGGTGCTAGTGGTGGTGCATGGTGGCTGACGGCGGCGGGTGGCGGATGAGCCACCCGGCCGGAGTATAGGGTGGCGGCTGAGCCAAGTGAAGGATCCATGGTGGCTGCTAAGCCACTCCGGAAAGATCCCTCTCCATGGAGGAGGTACTGTTCATTATATAGGGGACAATTAGGTCAGGCCTGGGGCCAGCCCAATTCAGGCCCAGCTAGCAAGGAGTTGGGCGAGGCCGCCCGGAGGCACCGGGCGGGGCTGGCGGGCGCGCACCAGGAGAGGATGGCAAGGGAGTGCCAGGCGAGGGAGTGCCAGGCGAGGGAGCGCCTGGCTGAGCCGGCAGGAGAGTCCCCAGTAGGGCTGACAAGGGAGTCCCCAGCAAGGCTGGCAAGGGAGCGCCAGGCAAGGCTGGCAAGGGAACGCCAGGCAGGACTGGCAAGGGAATGCCAGGCAGGGCTGGCAGGAGCGCGCCAGGCCAGGCTGGCGCGCTAGAGCAGTCTAGGCCATGCCAATGGACCATATATCATCACTTGGCAATTCCTCGACCCGGTTGCCCTTAGCTTTTCTGAGGCGCTTTTTGATCCCATTCACTAGTGTTCTGTTGGATACTTTTGTTTGGCCATTTGCTTGGGGGTGTGCCACCGACGTGAACCACTGCTTGATCCCTTTGTCGGCGCACCAGTCCCAGAACGGATTCTCAGCAAACTGTAGCCCATTATCACTAAAAAGTATTTTAGGTATCCCGAACATGGTCACGATGTTTTTCCACATGAACTTGATCATCTGTCTCCCCGATATGCACGCCAGTGGTTCGGCTTCTATCCATTTTGTGAAGTATTCCACTGCGACTACTAGGTATTTTACCTTTCCTGGAGCATCTGGGAACGACTCCATAATTTTTATTCCCTATTGGTAGAAAGGCCGTGGGCTGGAGATACTTGTGAGAGGTGGTGGGGGTTCCCTTGGATCGGAGAGTACGTCTGGCATTCTACACACTTCCTTGTTAGCTCTAATGCATCCTGGTCTATGGTTGGCTAGTAGATGGCCATCCGGATTATCT